ATGAATAATAGATTTAAACGTAATTATTTCCATTCAAATATTATATATGTATGTCATCAAGTTCATTTGCATGTCGGTAATGATATTATTATATATTTATAATACAAATACACATACATATGTGTATATATATTATGTATGTGTGTGTATATATGTATGTTTCTATATATGTGTGTGTGTATATATATATATATATATATATATATATATATATATATATATATGAGATATTTTAATAATTATTTATATTAAAGGCATTTGGACAATCATCAATTATGGGTCCCTAACTACTTCGCAATTCATACTTTCCGAATAATTATGTTTTCCATTCAGGTATGTAACAATGTATTATAAATCAAGTAATAATATTTGACATATTACATAATTAATAATATTAACTTTAATGTATATTTTAGTCACAATATTCCTACACTGTAGTGGAAGCTTTAATGACGCATCTTGATGATCACTCAAAATCATCCCCCAAGATTCGTACCAGTATTGCAGATACTTTGTCTAAAATTATATCAATTGCTGCAGGTGAAAGTGTTGGTAAGTACACATTAAAAATTGAATGGATCTAGTATAAATTCTATTATTTAGTTCTCTAGTTAATATAAATTTATATAAATAAACAGTATTTATATTGAATGTATAACAGAGATTAAATCCTATCATTAAACTCTTAACGATATGTTCTTTTAGGACCATCTGTGTTAGAAATTATAAATTCCTTATTATCTCACCTACGAGTTAGTGTGACGAGAAACCAGTCGTCAAGTAGTGACGAGCAATTGTATCAGGAAGCTCTTATTAATGCTCTTGGAGAGTTCGCAAATCATCTTCCAGATTACCAGAAGATTGAGATTATGATGTTTATTATGAGTAAAGTTCCATACAGTCAGCCTGATCGTATTGTATCGGTCGGCAAGGGAGATGTGTTACTTCAAAGCATACTTTTAAAATCACTATTGAAGGTAAATCGTTTTCATTATTATATAATAGTATATGTAAGGTATATGTAAGGTAGAGATTTTTTAATTATGAATATTTTATTTTTATACAGGTTGGCACCAAGTACCAAACTATCCACTTGAACACAACGTTCCCACCCAGTTTCTTGGATCCATTACTAAGAATGTCATTGGCAGCAGATGCTGAAATGAGACTTCTTGTACAGAAAATATTTCATACTTTAATTGACAGACGACGGAATATTACAAAACTCGCTAAACCAACGTAAATTTATCTCTTGATTAACTTAGTAACAAATATCTATTAATTTCCATTGTTTTTTCTTTTTTATTTTTGAGAATAACTTTTTCTGTTTTAGTGTGAACGTAGCAGAGCTAGATCTTGCTATTGAAAAAGCCTCCAGACCTGATGTAATCTTCATTCGCAAGCATGGCCCTGAAATCTACTTGGCGCTGTATGAATCATTAGAGCTGTCTAGTAACACAGTAGAAAATGTGGAATCTATTTATACCACGCTGGCATTACTTGCCATTGAATTAGCTTCTGAGGAAACAGTATTAGAGTTACTAAGACTAGTATTGAGCCTGCAAGACTTGGCATTGACAAGTGGTCAAATTAGTGTTCCGCTTAAATTCAATTTACACGCAATAGTTATCAGCTTACTAATCTTAATATCATATGTCTGTAATATTACCGCTCTCATGGATTATGCGAAAAAGGTAAGTAATTTCGAATTATCAACCGCATTAATTTATTTTATAATAAAGTAACATTGAATAAATTTGTTTGAAGGTGATAGAAGCGCGTCGAAACGATAGTCCTCATTTACTACCAGATTTACAATCTCAATATGATATTGGTCTAACATCCAGATTAGCGCCAACTCTTTTAGTCGACCAAACTGTTGTTAGTGAGTGTCTAAAGGGAGCTGGTCTTGATAGTGGGAAATTACAACAAGGTTCGGGCTACAGCGGTAATTCTTTACAACACAGGTAAATTACCTATTAAATATAATGATCCAGTAATTGGCTGTAAACTTTTAAAAAATGCTACTTTGTTTTATATAATGGACGGTGACTTTTGTGAGGTGTGTGTGGAGTATTCCACACATCAGAATTTTTCATGTGTGAATTTCACACATGAAAAATTCTTTGTTACGTCTGAAGGACTTCCACAATTCTTTCTTTTGGAGAAATCTGGAGTTTTTGTCGAGATAGCCAGATAGTTAATAAATAACAGACAGTCAAGCTTTCACTTTTATAAAACCTAAGCAAAAAGCTCGTTAGTCTGGGTCCACAGCCTCGCTTTAAAAGACCCTAAGCCGTAAAGCCATAAGAAATTGACCAATCATAATTGAATGCGAGAAAAATATCGACTGTGATTGATCAGTTTGTTACGGCTTTACGGCTAGGCTTGAAAGTTTTTTCAACACCAAAAGCATATTATAAACATGTATATTTACAAGTACATGACCAAGTTTTCGCATCTTTAAATGAAAGATTTTCAACTCAAACTATGAACTTTTCAAAAGAAATGGAAAATGTTGCAATCAGAAATAATAAATGTAACAAAAGTGAAATTGAAGTTCTTGCAGAATACAAGAATGATTTTGATATTCAGAAGCTTGTACTCCATCAGAGAATGTTTTTTAACATACTAGACAGCCGAAAGTTAACTGTAACATCTCTCGGAGACGTTACAATTCTTCGAAAAAATAGAGTCGTCAGAGACTTGGTTTCAGAGTATGCAAAACTATAATTCAAATACTATTGACAATACCGGTAACATCGTGTACTTCGATTGAATTCAGCAGTATTGCATGTGCATTTCGAGATTGCTGAAACTTTAGATATTGATGCATTTGTGGATGAGTTTATTATAAAATAGAAAATTCGAAGTTTGACGTTTGTGCTCTACAAGATTAAATTTATCAAATTTTTTCGTTAAGAGTTTTGTTTTATGAATTTAAGTATGTTTTATGTTAAACTATAAATATATATATTATATTTATAAAATATTTAAAATTTCGTTGCTCATCATTTTTTACGATTATAAAGAGATTTTAATATGGAGATTAAATAAGTTCTGGAAATTTTTTGCTCCCCTCTACGATCAAAAGTTGTCCAACTCCACACATGGCGAATTGACAAGTCGCCATCCCTGATTTTATACATAAGTTTTATGACAAAATTAAATTTTGTTAGACATTCATGGGTTGATGCTGGACGGAATTCACTAGCAGACATTAATTCTGGAGGTCCAGAATTAGATAGTGGAGGTTCATCACCAGGTGTGCAAAAGGTATAATTAATACTAATTTTAATTTATATTAAATTAGAAGACACATGATCATATTGATTTAACAATAATCATTATTTTAAAAAATGTTTAGTATATTGTTGTGCCCGCGCATCCGTTTCGCGGAATTCACTCGCGTCGCGAACACGCACTTCCGAACCGCCGAAATAAAGGTGCGATCCACTTGGCGCTACGAAACAATGCTTTGAAACTTTTGATTGACCAATCGAAAGAAAGAATTGTATTAATTGAATCAAAAAATACTTCGAAGCATTTGTAACATCAAGTGGACCGTAGCCATAAATAACATGAAAGTAGAAGACAACAAGATATTTATTAGGCACAGAACACAGAGCAGAACACAAGCAAAACAAGAAAACAGTATTATTATTGTACAATTTTAACTAATTACCTTTTATTTGTAATTAATTTTTTGCAGAAATTACCTGGAGAAGAATTAACGTTTGAGAGCATGAAAAGAATTTTGACAGAAAATAACAATAATCAAGTAATAGAAGAAGAGAAGCGAATGCAACTTTCTCAGTTCTTTAGAAATGCACCATTCCAGGATTTAGTATCAAAGACACAACCAAAGGTTTCATTAATAAGCATATTGTATAGTAAACTTAATAATTTATACAGCTTTCTAATGTTTTCTTTTCTGTTCACAGCACGATGTTTTACAGAGTAAGTTGTCAGAGATATTTAATACGCTGTCTGTCGATCCGCGCAACACTGTTCCTACGACTGGACCACAGACAGATACTAAACCAAGTCAAACTCCAGCTTACGAAATTCATTTCCCAGAGTTGTTTGTATATTAAATTATTCCTATTATAATATATTAACATTAGATGCCATTTGGTGCTGTAAATGCTTCAAAACAGTCGATTGATCAATTGAAAGAATTTTAGTAATTGACCCATCAATGAATGCTTCAAAGAATTTGTATCAAGTATCAAATGGGTTATAGCTATTAACATTAGTATTGCATTAAATTAAATCGTTTATATGTTATTGAGTATGAACAGTGACTCCTATACTTTATAGAATGATTTATGTACATAATGAAGAAAATATTTTTACGTTTTATATTGTTAGATATAGATATATTTTTTATTAAGATTTATGAGTTGTTTGTACTAATTTTATTTATTTTTAATGAGTACATATCAAATACCATGCAAATTGCAATGAAAATGGTTAATTAGTGTTTTTATAAAATTATAAATGGTTTTATGGATTCAAGTAATGTATGGTATAAAGAAACGGGAATTTCTTATATACATGTAATAATTTTATAGAATCATCAGATTTCGTAAAATTATCAAATCAATTGTTTTCAACGATATAGGTTGACTCAGAATCAGAGTCGCGTACAAATTCATTGAAACATTTTTTAATTGGTTAATTAGTAAAATTAATAAAAAGTTAATTAAAATAATCTTTTTTCTGATTGGTCAATCAAATGCTTCAAAGTATTTGTAGTGATTTGACCGCACCCTATGACTATATATCGATACTGCAATGAAAGAACTTGAAGCACAAAATAAAAAAAGTTCACATCACTCTCTAAGGTCGGAATCGAACTACGCATTAAAGATTGAGAGATTGAAGATTTAGTTCAGTCACTTTAGAACAAAAAAAGGCGTTTAAACACAAAAATTCCGACCTAGCCAAAAATTACTGAACATCTTCATTTAGACAAGAGAATTAATGTCTGAAAACTTTCCAACGTTAGCTTGTACGTTGGGAAGTATTAAAGTTTTTTTATCGAACGTAGAAAGGTTGAAATTTTGGCTTTTCGTGATTATCTTCTTTCCTATCAATTTTACAGCCAAAGTATTATAGGTCCATAATAAAAGAAAGATAATAAAATTCTCTATAAAGAAGGTAGTATGCAATTTTTTCGTAAATACCATATTCGTATAAACTCGACGCGAAGCTCACGATTTTTTAAATTAATACATTTTTACGCAGTTTTGAACTGGAAATGAGTATTTTTAGAAAGCAAATAGTCACTGCTGCATGTTCAGCTTTATACGCTTTTGTGGAACTGACTGTATTTCAGATTTCACGCCCTAAATTTGATTCCTATTCTATCCGCCGTAATCTAAACTCGACGACATTTCTTAATTTTATCTTACCCTATTTTTATTTAAAAAATTGAAATATATCTCCCTTAATATTCATTGGAAAAAAAATAAAGGCACTTTCATTAAATAATGAAACCACGTTCTATCGATTGAGCCTGTTAAAAATTTCGTTCGCCTAGCCATCTTTTAGATATGAACATAGTGTTTCCGATCAACTCGACGGTTGAAGTAAGTAAGTAAGTAGCGTACAAGCTTAACATTGGGAAGTTTTCAGACATCATTTCTATCACTTAAATGAAAGTGTTTACCAATTTTCAGCTGGGTCGGAATTTTTGTGTTTTAAAAATCCTAAAGTGACTGGACTAATTAAAAGACTAATTAAAAATTTGGCCAATCAAAATAATAGAAGTTAAAATTCCTTTATTCTTATTAGTTAAATTTCAATTTTCAATCTTCAATGTATAGTGTGATTCTGGCTTAATAGTCTGTTTTCTGTTTCTGCACTAGACTGCGTTACGTATAGAACCATGGTGGAAGTCATGTATAGAACTCTCTTTCTCGCTTTCAACAAATATCGAACATATGCCTGTTTCACTTTAAGTGTATACTAGTTCAACCACAGAAAACAGATCTTAAATCTCGAAATATCACTCGAAGAGACTTGAACCGGTCGTGAAAAAAGAATAAAACTATAAAATGTTACCACTCTTCGAGAGTGACAGATTTTCACTCTTTTTTTCAAGACTAGCTCAATTTTTAATCTCTTCAAGTGATGTTTCACTCTATGAGATACAAAGAGTAAGTATCGACATAATAAGTCATCCTGTATACATAAATTAGGCTTCAGCAAGACAAATAATCTGGATATATATATTCTCTAACAGTAGATTAGAGTTAATTAAGTTAATGTACTCTGTTATTTAGTTATAATAATGTAAAGTTAAAAATTGTATATCTTTCTGTGTATTTCTCTTTATGTATATTTCAAATCAGAAAACAGAATTTTCTCCCAAGGAGTCAGTGATTGAAAAAAATTGCACAATGTATATTTATGAATATAGAGAAAATAATTCAGAATATCTTGTAAATATATATATATTAAAACACATGTTAACCTGAAAAGATTTATTATGTTATAGTGTAATGCTTATCCCTCTTACATTTTTGTCCAGTTATTCGTATAATGTGAAGAAAAAGATGTTTATAGATGTATACACTTAAGGAAGAGCAATTTTTTGTTGTACTTTATTTTATAAAAACCTGTAGCATTATGTCACCAATTGTTCTTTCCTTTATTGAATCTTTGTACAAAATACTTGAAGAATCATCAAATACATAGTAAATGGAATGAACACAGGTTTTATTTTGCAAATATCTGAAAAGTCCCTTTATTCAACCGCTCATCACATAGGAACATGGTTAGTCGATTTTAAATCAAGTACACAAGTTAAGTAGCATCTCTTGGAGAGCAAGGTAATCAAACTACATATTAACATATGACCCTACAATCTATGCGACAATGTTTGAATATTATTAATCTGCAATTTATACATTGTATAAATTGTATATCGTTTCCGAAATATCGAGGAGACGATGTTTTCAATGTCTCATATGTAACTTCGTAAAAATATATTTTAATGTACGAGCGATTGAATTAAGGCATTAGAGTAGGATGTGCCATTCGTGCGACGACTACTTAACATAATTTGATGTGTTTCTTTTTTTCCTTTTTCTTGAAATGCGTTTGGTCAAGTTTGGTACGCTCTAAGAGGTATTTCAAGGTTCCACCTTCAGCAGCTCCACATCGAAGATAAGAACAGCATTCGGTGGGATAGTGTGTCTCTGTCAAGGCTAATATAATTTACTGTCCTGTTTTCTTTTTTAATAGATCATAGATAGAACTACTCTAAATAATTACACTAGAACTTTGTAATAGCAAATTTGAAGTAGAGCACAAAATCTCTTCCGTTCTCACTAGACCTATATGAGTAGTGCAAAAGATAAAACCGTGAATTTGACAATTGGAAAATGAAGTAAGAATAAACCTCAGTATATCATTCAGGGTCCCAACTATGTGCTATTACAAAGTTCCTGTGTATTCTATTTTGTTTAATCATATTTTATATTATACTATTTTGCATTAAAGGATATATTCCAGGGTGGCCTCGGCTACCATAAGCAAAGTCTGGAGAACAGGTCAACTTAGCCCGCTGTCCGACACACATTTGTGCGACTCCTTGGTCCCAGCCTTTAATTACTTCACCTTTTCCAATTTTAAATTTAAACGGTATACCACGGTCCCTGCTGGAATCAAATTTCTTTCCGTTGTCGAGAGTACCTATAGACACACACATAGATGTATTAATGAAATCATTATATTTTTATATAATCCTAAGATTTTACAAATTATCTAAAAAGATAAATATATGATATTATCAAAGATTAGAACTGAAGAATATATATATAATATAATATTAAATAGTACGATCAGAGATGAGAAGTAATGCATTACTTTTCAATTCTGGTCATATTTGTATAATATTATCATACAGCAGTAGCTTTTAAAGTTTTTTCAGTGATTCTCCTCTATTTCTCCTTTAATATATAAATATAAATCAGAGTATCAATTCTTTGCAATAAAATATTTACCTGTATAATGCACGACCACTGTTTGACCGGTCTTTGGATAAGTTTGACCTGCACATATAAAATATTCATGAAATGATATTAGATGACAAAACTGAGGCAAGAATACATTGCCGTTCAAAATTAGTTAACAGTAGGGTTACCAACCGTACTCTTTAAAGAGTACATGTATTCTTTTCGAGGTCGGAAAACAGTGTACTCTTACTTTTCACTTATTGTACTCTTTTTTTAAAAATGAGACAAAATTTAAAAAAAATTATTTAATATTTATAAATTTATACGAAGTTATACTTGGTTTATATGGTTAGGTTGTGTTAGGCCGGTATTCACAGTCAGTTCTTATTTGAAGACTGTCTTTTAAGTAATGTCTTAAGACGCGATTGCGGCCCTCTAATTGGTTCGTGACACCTGAAGACTGTACATATATATATACATTTTTGTTACATAAAGATTGAGTTTTTTTTTTAAATTTGAATTAATTTTAATTTTCCAATTTTAATAATGTTATATGTACAAATGTAGTTGCTAAAACGCAAATAAATATTACTTATATTATATTAACATATATTTGGAAATTACATTGCACACATGTCATTTTATTGACTATATACCGGCAATCTAAAGAGAAAACCTTTTTCATTTCCTTTTTTTTTTTTGAAAATGTACTCTTTTTGGCAACCAATATACTCTTTTTCTGCGGCCTTGGGTTGGTAACCCTAGTTAACAGCAATAAATAAGGCAAATCGCGAAGTCGCTCAGATTCCATTTTATTTCGAATAAAGAACCGTGGGCATCGACCACGCTAGTTCATGGCATTTCAGGCCACGAGATGAAGCATAAACGTTATGGAGTAAAATGCAAAATTTTCGGAACAGTATAATATGGTATGCGCGCAAGCATGAGAGCTGGAGAAAGAAAGAGAGATGAAGCTCGCTGCAAAATAGGAGAGATTCTCCCAAGGAGAAGCGAAAGAAGCAAATTTGGTAGAGTATCTAGAAAAATCGAGTCTCTAGAAAAATAAAACTGCATAATTACCGTCTCCAGGACTCAAGATTTCGACATCCACGCCCATGGCTACGTGT